GAGACTGTGGGTGACGGGCTGGTGCATAGTTGGCATGCAGTAAGTGTTCCTTCCCATTCTTCTGTCACCACCGCTGTGTATTTCATTTTTTTTATCTATGAAGTGGGACTAGTAATGCCCATCCCCTCTGGCTTGGAGGTACTGTACGTGCTTTAGGCAAAGTTAACTGTGGTTATTTGACTTCTCACTACTTTTTCTTCTGCTGCTCCCCAGCTTTTTTTTTTACAGAAAGAAAACCTCTTATAGTTCAGTGACATGGGGCAAGTGAGAGCAAACCAATTCCACGCTCCTCTGCTGTGGCTTGGCTACACTCACATGAGGGCTCCTGGCTCTAGGGAAAGGGACCCTTATACGAAGCAGACCGGGCCCATAAAACAAAGTGCCCCAACTGTTGCTGCTAAGGCATAGAGGGGTAGCATCTAGCCTGACTATATTTGTGCCCTGGCGAGCCTGATGAAGATGTGAGGGAGATCCCAGTTTTTTGAAGGATTTGCTTGGTATATCACCAAAGTAGGTTTGTTAATGCTCAGAGAAGAGCTTGGTGTGAGAAGTGTCTATGTTTTTGGACTAGAGTTCGTGGTCTCATGTGTGTGAAAAGATGACAGCTGCCCCCATGCCCATCCAGACATTTCTTTGCTGTTCCTTAAACCCTGCATGACATAGTCTTTCCTCTCAGGCTGAGTCTAAATCCTCAAGCTCAGCTAAGGCAGGGATTTGTTATATAAGCGGTTCTCTGGTGGGGACTGCATCTTGAAATGCTCCCCTGCCCAGATCAGCCCCTCGGCTCTTTCCAAGCTAAGGAGCTGCCTGAGAAGTTTCTGCTCAGTTTGGAGGCTTCATTTTCAGGATTTTTATTTCCCAAATGAGACTACTGCCTTCTCAGTAGTTAGAGAGCAGAGGCCAGGCCAGGCCCAGAAGCGTGAGTGTCCAGTGGGCCCTTGGTGAGAGTGGACCCGGGCCTGTAGCTCATCTTGTACAACTTGGATCCCAGATTCTTCTAAGAGCAAGCAGCCTTTTGATCAGGTCTCCGACCCTACGCATCATCTTTGGGTCCCAGTTGTTATTACCACCGTTACCCTCATACACACTTCTGATACACATTAAAAACAGGGGGACACAGACCCATGGACTTGTCCTTATGACTCACATTTTCTTTTGAGTTAAGTGATGGCAAGTATGGAAGTTGCCTTTGTGTGTGTGTGTGTGTGTGTGTGTGTGTGTGTGGTTTCCCTAATTTTTAAATACCTGTTCTGTCTGCACAGTAGGACTCAGGAAACCTTAGGCTGCTGTCCTCAGAGAAGCAGCCACAGCCACAGCAGAGTGACAGAAGCCCTGAGTAGGAATTCAGGAGAAACAAGTTTCAGTTGTGTTTGAGCTGGACCCCTCTAGGTTTTACGAGTCTTTATCCCAGGTTGATGCTGTCGCTTTGCAGGAGGAAGCATAGCCAGCACTAGCTTCTCTGCCATGCTTATTCCTGACTCAGAGTAGGCCCCTTTTTACCAAGTAATTTATTTAAGAAACATTTCCTTAACAAATATTTGCATCCCTACTATGGGCGAGCACTGGGCCCCACCCTTGGTCAGTGCCCAGAAGATACTAGACAGACATGAGCTTCAACTGACATGATCTGCAAAAAATGCTGCTGGCTTACTTCCTTAAATTCTTTCTAATAGTATGAATTAAACAGAGCTCCTAGGTTGTGGAATGTTTTACTGAAGTTGCACTCTCTTTCTCAGTTCTTCTCCAATAATTTTTCTTTTTTTCCGAAGAGCCCAGTTTTGCTGCTGCTCGCACTTCCACTCAGAATCTCTGCTGGCCTCTGCGCAAAGGAGTTAGATCCAGCTCGCTAGTGCAGCCTTCAAGACCCTCCACTTGCCTTCCCAACCTCTCCGTTTCCCCTTCACTCTGAAGGCATTATGCTCTCAGGAGTAGGCTTGTATACTTCTGAACTGGCCACCTTCACCCTGCCTCCTCCTAGGGCCTAGGCCGTCACATACTTTGTTTTTCTCTACCTGGGACATCTGAGTACTCTTCCCGTTACTTTCAGTTTCCTTTTTTCAAAATCTATCTTGTCATTAGAGACCAGTGCAACTACCACTTATAATTGTGATTCCTAATTTCCACAGGAAGTTTTTCTGCTCTTCTGCTATGGCATTTCTCAGGGTCTCCCTTGTACATTATAGTTCCCGTGACTCAGTGAGGATCTTGTGGTCAGGGAATGGTGCTACAGCTTTTCTCCAACCATGGTTCCTTAAATATTGTATTCTGTTAATACTGGGTGAATTGAAATAAGTTTGTAGAAGGCTCTTTATCATGAAACTGGTGGACCTGTATGAGCTCTGTGGATAGAATTTAAAATAGAAAGAATCTATGAACTTGGATGGAAAAATTATATACAGTTGGATTTCTGTATATTTGGGTTCTACATATGTGGATTTAACCAACTGTGGGTCAGAAGTATGCTAGAAAAACTACATCTGCACTGGAAATGTACAGACTTTTTCTTGTCATTATTCCCTTAGTAATATAGTATAGCAGCTACTTACCTAGTGTTATTAGGTATTAAAACTCATTGAGAGATAATTTAAAGTACACAGAAGAATGTGTATAGATTACGTTCAAATACTACACCATTTTATCTAAGAGATTTGACCATCAGTAGAGTTTGGTACTGTATATGCAGGATTCCTGGGACCAATCCCACATTGACACTGAGGGACAACTGTGCTTGTTTTCACTAGCTTCTAAGTTATAATTTAGCTTCTTTTTCAGGTATGAATGCAGGCCAAAAAAATAAACGCAACAGTAGTGGCGGTGCCTGTAAGTTTGTCACCAATGAAAATCTAAGATATTTTTGTCATAATGTAGTTATTGTAGATTTCTCAAATATAATTTATATCTAATATAAATTTAAAATTATAGAAGTAATAATAAGTAAGATCCAGTGATAGTTAATCACTTAATATAATATGAACACATTTTTAAATTTTGGTATCTTGTTTCAATGTCATTGCTCTCTTCGTATTTCCTACACTTACAAATATTTTGAGAAGGGGTCCCTGAGCTTCATCACACTGCCAAGGGGGGTCTATGCATAAAAGAGTCAAGATGCAAAATGCCTTCATCTCTCTATGTGCATACTATTCTATATCTATTTCTTATATTTCCTCATTAGACAGCTATTCATATAGCCAAGATTTTGTGAGTACCCACCAAGCCTTGGTACTAGAGAGGTAATTCAAAATTAGACACAAACCTTGCGATGCGAATGAAGTGCAATGTACTAGAAAATCCACTGTCTCTATTTTATTCTGTCCTGTCCCCTCAGTCATTGGTGTTTTGAGGTCATCCCCGGTCCAGCTAAAGGGTAAATTGAAATTGTATATGTAATGATGCCCCCCAGATTCCAGCCCCCTGGGCTCCATTCCCTTTACTTCATGAGAGGCCTTTCTATTTATTTATTTATTTATTTTTGTTTTTTCTCCGGTACCGGGAACTGAACTCACGACCTTGTACTTGCCAGGCAGGTGCTTTGCCGCTGAGCTAAATCCCCAGCCCCGAGAGGCCTTTCTATAAGAGTCACTGGATTGGCAAGAAAACCAGGGTAGCACCACGTCAGGGTGGCTAACTTGCCTTACTCCCACAGGGCACTTGCCTTACTTATTCCTGCCTTCAGGGCCTTTCCTGTCCCATTGTCAATCCTGAAATAGATTTCCTCCCTGGATCCCTGGTGAGATTTATTTACGGAGTTGTTCTCTGGGCTGGGCCTGGTCTTCATCAGAATTAAGTAGCTGGCACAATGGCTGTCTGGCCCTCCCTTCTCTGCTACCTAATCCCGGTGTCAGGAATGGCCCAGAAGTTCAAAGACTGAACTGAATAATGTCTTACTCACTGAATGGAGATTCCCATCTTTGACTTCCGTCATTACTCTTTCCCTCAGTAGTGTTGTAAGGAGTACGTTAGCATCCTAGAAAATACGTTCTCCTTCACAGGGTGATTGATAGTATTAAATGCATATCACATATGAAGTGTCTAGTGAGTAGTAAGTCTGGATACATGAAAGTTGCTGCTTGCTATTGTCGCTACACTGCCATCACTACAGGTTTTCAGCCAAAGGAACAAGTCTCTAATAATGAAATTTCAGCTATCATTAAGTTAGGTTAGGGAATCTATTTGTAAAATCGATGGCTACATTTTCTTGTGCCTGTGCAGTCATGTGTGTGGCTACCTGTTGTTTTGACCTAGCTCTCCCCTTGTCCCTTTGTTTCTCTATTGACTTGACTTTGATAACACCTCTATGTTGCTCATACCCATCTCTCCTAAGGCTCCCTTCCTCTCTCATGCCTAGGGAGACCATCGAGACAGAAGTGGTGGGAAGTGTTAACAATGCAAGGCAGTATATAAAACCATGGATGTCAGCACTGAAATAGTACTTGGAGAGCACCAAGTTTAATCAACTGTCTCACTTCATTTCTGCCCTTTCACAGATGAGAGAAACTAAGGCCCAGGAAAGAAATAAGAGTTACCTAAGATTGTCTTCTGAGCCAGTTATAGTGCTAGGCTTAGAACCATGTACAGTATTTTTTATCCTTCTCTTGTCTCTGCAGTTTTCTACCAGTGCTATAGATAATCCAAGTTGTAGAGAAGAGATAAGAAGAGTATGCTATGGGCTGGAATTGGCTGAAATAAGTGGGGAAGACTTTGTGGAAGAAGTATAGTTAATATTTTCTTATTCTTGGTTAGTAGGCTGATTTGCATTCTTGTTTGCCCCTTGGCAAGCATTGCTCTGCGGCTGTGTCTTTTGTCTTCAGTGAGCTGATTGAGAGCAAGGACTGGGTTATGGCTTGTTTGTGTCAGTAGCTCACCCTTTCATTCCACCGCTATCTAAGTTGCTCACGTTCTTTGCATCCTACTTCCTTCCTCAGTAGTTGAACACCTGCTCCAGCCTCTGCCAAGCACAGAGTTATATGACTAACCTATCTCCTTTGATCTCACCCTAGATCAGTGTGCGTGTGACCACCATGGATGCAGAGCTGGAGTTTGCTATCCAGCCCAACACCACTGGCAAGCAGCTGTTTGATCAGGTAAGGGAGGGAATCTTTGCTCCTTAACCAGCTTCCCTTCTCTCAGTAGCTCCTACCACAATGCCAACCAAACTTCTACTTCTTGTCAGAAAATCTCTTTTCCTACTTAGTCAGCAAGGTAGGTCAAAACAAAGGCTGACTCTGGCCGTAAGAGGAAAGGAGACAAAGTTTAAATTTGGTAGCCTGCACCCTTGTGGCCTTAATTAATCCTGTAATGGGTTCTGAACAAAAGAGAAGACAGAAAGGGAATATGATTGCTGTCTTAGTTACATTTTTCTTGTTGCTGAGATAAAATACCAAATACCCAAAGTTAAAGGAGGAAAGGTTTATTTGACTCATGGTTTGTAGAGGTTTCAGCCCATAGTTGGTTGACTCCTAGGCAGTTTTCAGAGGCTGAGACCTCATCACACCTAGGTCCAGCCACCTCTGAAGAGCCCCACCTATGACCACATGAGGCTTTGGGGTTGGGGAATATAGACACAAGCCATAACAATTGCATACCAGATGCTGTAAAGACAGGAGCACACAGAGCCTTCTTTTCAACGCTGAAAGATGTAAGTGAGCTCTTCTCCATTTTAACATAAAAGTTAGAAGTTAAATAATCTAATTACACTCAGCTGATGCGTGGCTGAGATTCTTGCTAGTGTATTATAAAGCTTCTGTCACTTCTGCCTCTCCTTTCCTCCCCTCCCCTCTCCTGCTCTCCCCCTTCCTCCCTCCCATCTTCCTTCCTCCATCCCTGTCTCCCTCCCTCCCTCCCTTCCTTCCTTCCTTCCTTCCCTCTCTTTCTCTTTCTGCTTCACAGTAGAAGGAAACTATATACATTTCTTCTAAAGGAAGGTCAGGACTTAGGACAATACTAGGGGTGATGAATGTAGTACGGGGGTACTTTATCTCCTGCAGGCATGCCATAGAGGTAATTGCTTGCTTCCTATAGATAGAATGGTCCTTTCCATCTCTAACTCAAGAGGTGTCTCTTCACTATGAAAATTTTGTCATTTTCAGAAGGGATGTGCTAATAATAATATACTAACCAGACGAAGGCTACAGGATCTTTTGGCATTCAAAGACTCCCTAGGAGCAAAGGGCATATTTCATCTGTGGCCAAACTCCCAGGATCAAAAATGGGGCTCCCATTTTCAGAGGCTGAGACCTCATCACATGGGCCATTATCCCATATCCCAATCAGCCTCTGGTTGAGTGGAGATTTGATTTGTTGTTCAGAAGGTTGGGGATACTTATCATCTTTTTTTTTTTTTTGATACCGGCAATCAAACTCATGACCTCAGACTTGCCAGGCAAGCACTTATGCCACTGAGCTATATCCCTGGCCCTGATACTTATCATCTTTATGGATTTTTAAGGTCCTCTTGCTTCCCTGTGCCTACTGTACTGTAGAGAACTTCTCCATGGGCAGGGAGTGGTAAGAAGAAAGAAGAAGTAGGTTGGACTTAATGGAATAATTCTGTTTCTATGAATATTCCATTGGGTGAGAGGAAAGACAAGGGAAGATGGAGATGGGAGAGGGAACTGTTTTTCATTCAGGTCTTTATGTAAGAGGAAGGAAGACTGTCTACAAGTCTTAAGAATAGCTTGGATCTTAGTCACCAATATTGTATCTGGTGGGAAAATTGTTGTCTGGCTACTATAGAGCAAAGTTAACTTTAGCTTGTCTGAGAGGTACTGTGTGCTGGTACTGTGACAAAACTCTGAGTGGAAGGACTAGTACTGACCCCACTTTACCACTGGAGAACAATATTTTCATTAGACCTGGGGGGAAAAAAGTTCTTTAACTTCACTGGGTTGTTATCCTCATATTTTAAAAAAAGAAAAAAAAATTAACACCTACCTCAAAGGCTTTCTGTGAACTTATGAAAGAGTATACAGTATTATTTATAATTCTCTCACTACCTGAAGACTAGTTATAGTGGCATGTGAGGTTGAATAAAATCCAAAAAGATGCATTATAAATAGACAAGAAAGACAAAAAGAAAATACAAATAGGGAAAAGAATAGTGATGATTCTTGTTTCATTCCTAGCTGGCAGTTGGAAATAGGCTTGATGAGCCTCAGAATATATAACTTTGTATTTTGCTGGAGCTCACTTCTTCTCTGGAATTTGTTTTATGTTTTTGTTTTAAATGGTGCTGGATAATCATTGATATTTAATTTGTGAAAATACAAAGTAGCATGAGGAAATTAAAAAAAAATTTTTGAGACAAGATGTGACTAAGATACAAAGTTGTTACGGCTGGGCTTAACTTGTGATCCTCCTGCCTCAGCCAGCCCGGAGCGCTTGGATCACAAATGTGCACCCCTGGGCCTGGCCAGTCTGAGGAACTTTTAAACACACACATTTACTGTAATTAAAGTGATGTGCTGATACCTAGCTTGCAAGTGATTATAGCACTAGTCTGAAATAACTGTGTTTTGATTATATTAAGATTTTACATTGTGTTTACATGCAAACTTTATATTGAGGAGCTTTTAAAGGGACACTAGAAGTCAAAAGGGCACTGAATAGAAATAAATCTTGGGCTCTAGGACTGGCTGTGTTGTGAACACTCTGTGATACTTTACTCAAACCTTTCCCCTCTTTAGGCCTTAATTTTCCTATCGCAGTGTCTAATTATCTTTCAAATCTGGTTATCCCTCAAACATTTATTTCTGACATTTGTATATTCTGTATATGCTTTTCTCCCATCTCTCTTCCTACTATTTGGGTTTCAGACAACCTTTTTCTGTAAAAAGAAGGAGAATGCCTCATTTTAGTATGATCAGCTGTTGGTATACTCAGGGGACAGGAAGGAAGGCAGCTGATAGGTGTTACTACATGATGAAGGTAGCAGATAAATTTCAGGCTGTTTTGTATGACGGGCAAAGAATTGCAAGTGTACAATCCAAATGGCAAGTGAGAAATGGCTACATTTATTGAGGAGCGAAGAACGTTGTGCTCAGGGCAAGTCTGTGCTGACGAAAGATATAGCAGGGACAGAAATAATGTTGCCAGAGTGACAGAATGCCAGAAGCACGGCACACAGATCACAGGGCACAGCAACCCCTGATAAATGAGGCTCTCGGAGTTTATTTTTTTTTGTTTTGTTTTGTTTTTTTGGTTTTTCTCCGGTACCGGGAACTGAACTCACGACCTTGCGCTTGCCAGGCAGGTGCTTTGCCGCTGAGCTAAATCCCCAGCCCCGGCTCTCGGAGTTTAAAGTGCACTCGTAGTGCACCTCAGCCCAGGAGCCTACCCTGAACCTCTAGGTGTGATTGACAGGATGTTGAGTTATCTCGGGGGCTCTCAATACGTGTGCTTGTCCCAGAATTCACTCTGATCTAGAGTAGTGCATGATATGTAGTACGTATGTATGAGCCCTTAATAAGGTTTGACTGTGGTGAAGGTGAAGGGACCACTAGAGATCCAGGGCACATGTGCTGTCACCTAGAGCATCAGAGATCTCCTGACTTATTGTGATATGAGTTTCTTTCTCTCTTAGGACAATGGGAGGAAGAATAGCCCTGGGGTACTGCTTAAAATTAAATGAATGGAGGAAGTGACTTCCTCAGCTCCATTGTTTCTAACTGTACTAGGGGGACATCTCTTCTTGGGTAGTCTACTGTCTGAGACAAAAGGGAGGTGTCCTTGTACTACACAGACTGTTGCCTTTGTTTCAAATAGCAGTATCATTCTGGGCAGAGACCACAGAGAGGAGAGTATCAGTCAGAGTGGATTTTATGGGCCAGCTGAGAGGCTGGGGATCTTTTGGCCTCTATTTAGACTCCTTCCTAGAGCCCTGCTTCTCCTCACTCCTCCTCTCAAACCAACTGATGCGATCCTCTGTCTTCAACGCTGAGGGCTTTGTCCATATTAGCATCGGAGGAGAATGGCTTCAGAAGGTGAGGAAGGCTTTATAGGACAGTAAACTCTTTGAATTAAGAAGTTTATTAGTTTTGAGAAGCCAGAAGACCTGGTAATTCTTTGTTAGTGTTAGTTTGGTTTGTGTCCTGTGGGTGTAATTCTTAGAGAAGCCCAGATGGTGGGGAATCATAGCCAGATTGGTGTGCCAGATTGGAAATCTGCTGCTTCTCAAACAAAGCCCTTGAGAAACTTGAGTATTTCGTGATGGTTGAGGAAAGGAGAGAGAAGAGACCAGGCATTTCATGGTTTCTCATCTAGAAGAGCAGTGATGCCTTGAGAAGTATCATTTATTGATTGCCTATTATGGAGTACCCTTGATACGATGCTTTATTTTTTCAAATTAATTTTAAGTAGAAAATAAAAATTGTATGTTTTTATCATATACAGTGCAGTGTTTTGAAATATGTGCATGTTATAGAGTGGCTAAATAATGCTTACTGGGTTTATGACCAAAGGAAATTAAATCAGTGTGTCAAATATGTATATATATATATTTTTTCTCAGCCATATGTACCATTTGTAACAATACGATTAAACCTTGAGGACATTATGTTAAGTGAAATAGTCCAGGCACAGAAAGCCAAACAGCATATAACCTTACTCATGTGGAATCTGACAAGTGTAGATATCATAGAGCTGAGAGTAGAATGGTGGTTAATGGGGGCTAGGGCTGTTAGGGTGGGGACTGGGATATGATGTTGGTCAAAGATACAAATTTTCAGTCAGAAAAGAGTAATAAATTTGAAAGGTCTATAATGCAGCATTGTGACTATTGTAAAGGACAGTATGTTATATTGAGAATTGCTGAGAGTAGATTTTAAGTGTACTCACTACATAAACAATAAGTATGTGAGGTAATGCATATGGCTGGGTGTTTTGATCCTCACAGTGGCCCTGCTAAGAGGTAATGGAATATAGCCTAGGTCATGTCATTAGTAAACACTGATACAACACAGAAACTTATTGAGCAACTGTGCTTCCCCCATTCCCCACTGCACTGCTTAGGGCTTAAGCCACTGAATGTGGCTTTTCTTAACTTGGAGAAGACTCAGAAAAGATGGCTTTTCTGTCTTCAGACCTC